TCATGAAGAGGCCAGGCGCCATGAAGAGGCCAGGCGCCAAGAAAGTCCACAAGCCGGCTTTGAAACCCAAAGATCCGAATGGGAAGTTTTCCTCCTCGAAGTTCAGTCCTGCTAGCGCCTCCAAACCCCTGCCTGCGTTTGGAATTTCCAACGGCCGGTTCAGAGCTGGGCCATTGATCATCCCGTACGTCCTCAAATTGCCCAAGACAGCGCCGTTGTCTCTGACAGTGGTTGGGGGCTCATTTCCACTTTTGTTTGTGACGTGGAATTTCAACAATGTCCTTTGAAAGGTATTGGCTTCCAGCATTTCTGGCAATTTGGTGAATCAGGTGGACCATTCCAAGTTGACCCACAAGGACGATGGTACCAAGATCTTCCGAGGGAGGAAACGTTTTCAATCGTGGAGCAGCATTCGCAATTGCCTGAGCATTGCGACCAAGGAATCAACCTTTAGCACGTTTCATGTTGCCGGCTATCTAGGCTGCTTCAGCGGCACCACCACAGCTGCAGATCAACATCCAAGTGAAAGGGCGATCAGCGCTCTAGCCTCAATCTTCATAATAGTTTGTCAACAAGCGATGCCGACCGCCGAGCATCTCAGGACTTCGCAAACCAGGTGAAATTTTCTGAAGCGTATGTTGATGCGCTGAAGCGCACCAACTCGGAGCCCGGAAAATATGTCACTCCAAGAGCCGGCGAATATATGTCAGGCTTGGTGCCAGATGGATCTATATAAATTTCATTGCCTTGATTTCACATTCAAATTGAAAGCTTTAGACCCATCGTTTCTGGCAGGCTTCCCGGCCAATTGGACGAGTGAGACCACTGTGGTGGACATGGAGACCTTTCGACGTCAATATCCCCATCGTGACTGCCAGGCCACTTTGATCAGTTGACCAAGTTCAAGACTCAATACGCGTTAATGATTGTGTGTTGGGCGTTAGAATGCGTTGGATTGGCAGGACAGGGCGTGGGTGATCAGTCTCTTTACCGGTGTGGCCGGATTAGAATTGGGACTGGACAAGCCTTGCGCTCAGATTGCAAGCGTTTGCCTCTCACTGTTTGCTCCTCATTTACATAATGCCAATGAATTGTCACCTGTTGCCTGCGTATTACTTTCCGGGCCCAAGAAATGTTTCATGGTGAGATGTTTGCAACATAGATTTCGTCTCATCCTTATTGATAGCAAATTTGTGGACACGTCCTTGTTGATAGCAAGTTTGCTTTGCGGAGTTCAAGTTGCCGGCGCGGCCATGTCATCAACCCATCTTGCACCCAGTGGGTGCAATCCCTCTCTGAAGCTTGCCGTGATCCGCTGTGTGGGTGTGAACCAGATCAGGCTGGCACTGGGGTGGGCTGTATTCTCCCAAATTTTGCGCCTTTCAACAGTCAGTGTGGAGGTTGCCGCGTGGAACGCCAGTCTCGTGCAAGTGGGGCGGCAAGTTGCTCCCCTCTCAGTGTCAATGTGTGTTTTCCAATGTCATGCAATGTTTTGGACTGAAACCCAAACCAGGGTTGAAACAATGACTTGTTGCATACAATGAATCCGGGCACCGGTTGTGAGGTGGACCTGGAGCTACTACACCAGGGGCTGGGAAGAAGCCTTGGAGCAAAGAGCCGGAGAGTCAGAGGTCGTTGATGCAAACCAGGCGCCTTACATACCGCAAGCGATGATGCAGTGTCCTTTTTTGGAAAATGACCTTGCTCACCAGCGTGAGCCCATGGCAGGTGAAGCGACGACGAAGTGAGCTTTGCGAAGGGTAACAAATTGCAGTTTCAAATCTCAGTGATGGAAAACCAAAGCTTTTGTGCCACGCAGCTTGCTGCTTCGCATGTTGTCAGGCGTTTGTGCCTCGAAGCAACGCAAGGTTATTTGTTAAGTTGTTAAGTGTGCAGACAAGTAAGTTTTAAGGTGGATGAAGCCCGTACTGTGTGCCCATACCTGAGTCTTACCAGTTCTTTCAGGTACTGTTATTGCAACAGTGTTTTCGGTTATTTTGGACACGAGGTTGAGAAGGATGAAGCGTGCCGGCGGGTGCTTCATCGACGGATGAAAGACGGTGCGCTGGCTCCTTGCTCTGTTGAGACAGATGTGACTACCACCTCCTTCCGCAGCGTGGAAGCGGATGGGGTGGTAGGGGGGTTCCCTTGTCAGGCCCGGTGAACGTGTTTAGCCGCAAATGTATTCACTGATTGACTGTGAACATATTTAGCTGCAGAACAAATATGACATTGCTGTTTGTGCAGGACATCTCCTGCGCAGGGTATCAAAAAGGCATGCGAGGTGAACGGAGCAAACTCGTGTGGCACGCGCTCCGAGCCCACGACGAGTTGCGCAAGAGAGGTGGCCGGAAGTTCGGTTCTCAGACAGACACGTTGAAGACGCAACTTCAGTGCTCTTGGTTTGGATAGCTGGTTGACTTGAAGGCCTTTCCTTCTGCTCGGGAACGTGGTGGCTTTGTTGGGATGCAAGCGTGAAATGCGAGAGGTGATCAGCTTTGTGTTCAAGGATTTTGTCTTGCGTTCCAGAAGTCTTGGGTTTGTCAGTCTTTTGGCCTTTGCGTGTCTTTTTTTGTTGCAGCTGCAATCATTGCAAAGTGCTCTTCTCGCAGGAGGCTGGCCGCAGAGGTTTGCGATGTCATTGGGCGACCGTGCGATTGGACAACGTGGGGTTGGAAGTCTAGACCTCAGTTGTAGTAGGGTCAACTTAGCAGAATGTCTAGCTTGAGTTCTGAGGCACGACGCTCGAGGGTTTTCCTACTATGCTGCGATCCCAATGATGGTCGATGGGAGGTTTGCGCTTTCAGCTTTCTGTTCTTTTGCTAGTTCTTTGGTGAGACACTAAAAGCACACTCTTTGCATCGCGCAGATCTTTCAACCTCTTGCGCTGGCCCGTCAGGATCTGCAATTGGAGCCGCTACGCAACCACATGCAGCCAGTCTGGAACGAGTCGAGCAAAGTTCCAATAGAGCAATGGTTGAGCCGCACCGTTGGTGGAACGGACCGAGATCGCTTGCATATGTTGGGGAACTGCGTTGTCCCGGCAATGGCCAGCCTTGCTTTTGAGATTCTTGTTCGGTTGAAGTTGGGGGCAAGGCACTTGCGCCACTGAGACCCTTGACCAACCTTGGGCAGCACCCTGTGCCCCTGTGGAACGGAGAATCTAGTAGGCTGGCCAGTTAAGAAGGTTGACCAATTTTCAATCTTGTGATTTTTTCAGAGTTAAAAGGGTTGGGGAAGCTGCCTCAATTCATCGTTATGGCTTTCGTTAAAGCCGGTGCATCGTGATTGGACAATCAATGACAATCGTGTCACGAAAAAGAAACACCAGAATGTAACGTAAACTAAAGCTGGATGAGCATAGAGCAGATCTGTTTTCAACTTTCAAGGCTCATTTTGAGGTGAGTTCCTGCAAAGTGACCCCAGTGTCCGTTTGCTTGCGGCATCGATGGCGCAGAGTAGTTCGTCGTTGGCAGTTCAAGGCGTGGGTGGACTGCTCCAGCCACCAAACTTGTGGTTTGCAAGCTTGCCATCGCAGGCCACCCGGACGACAAGGACTTCTATGTAGTGCCAGCTTCTACTTTGGAGGAGACTTGATTCCGGTAGTTGCGTATGATTTCATCTCTTCCCACACGGTTCACCTTTTCTTTCTCACAGGACGTGCCATTTGACTCTCCTGATGCACGCTACCTGACTTTTGAGACTCTCGATGAAGGCTCTTGCGTTTTGGTGGGACGTTTTCTTTGTTTGCAATGCAATAACCAAACATCAGCATTATGTGGTGGATGGGAGGTTAGTGAGACATTCATTGAATGCTTTGGCTCCGTTTCAGTTTCCAAGTTCTTTGTTTCCGTTTTGCGGTTCTTTGGAGGATCTATGCCGGAGAGATCCATTCGCCGTTGCGCTTTCTTGTCTGGTGATGGCTCGCGCCCAGCCCGTGTTGTGTTCAGTGGCAGCAAGACAGTACAGTAGTCGATGTAGAACATTTTGAAGCTGTCACTTTGAAGTTTTGATTTGTGCTTAAGATTGTTACATTCGCCAGAACATTTGTGTTCGTTCAGGATCTTGGCCCGCAACAGTTCTGCTTGGCCAGAGGGCATTTCCAAAGAAACGGTTTTTCCGAATGATGACAAAGTTGCGTGCTTTTCACGCAAAGCTTTCTACACTTCGGGTATGTGCATGCTGCTCATCCCCTCTGCCGACCTGACCTTGGACGATCTAGCCGAACCAGTTGCCGACTTGACGAATTCTCTCGGCTTTCCGGCAATCAAAATCAATGTTATCAAATACGCCTCGCTTGTCCGTGGCCACCATAGCTGCATCCGGAACGGAAGCTTGTTTTGTTGTTTGGAGGCAATTTTTTTTTGGCACTAGCTTTTCAAGGAAGCAAAGAAATAGCACTGTAGAGCAGTGGACACATAGTCGTAGGCGCTTCATCTTTTCGTCGGCAGGATATCCAGATAGTACTTCGGTTGAGTTTGCGTCGCAGAGCGCTGCTGAGCTTTTGAAGCGGATCAAATGATTAGCAGGAAATTGACAGTTTCCGGGGTTGGCAGACTGCAGGCCTCGATTGGCACAGGCCATGTTTTGGCGTAAATTTTGATGTGACGCGTGCAATGTGGTGCCAAAAGCTTCGGCGCATGCCACAAGCATGTCATGGGTGATCTGAAGAACTGTTCAAGTATGTTTTACATTGATGTGCTATTGGCAATGTTGTACAGGGCGCTGATATGTATCTACAGAGAGGTTGACAGGTGTGAAGTGTGGGGCACACTTTGCGGATGTGCTTGGCATAGTTGTGGCAATAAGTGTGAAACCCTTTTGCTTCAAGTATATAGACAGTTGTAAACCAGCAAGGACATCACTTCCAATTCCTGTCTCTGGTCAAATATGGACATAAATGGATTTGGTTTGACGCAGGTAAAATATTATATAGATCTATTTTCCACGTAGGGGTTCAACTGCTTCTGTCTTGTTCCGCCGGGCGGACGTCAGCCCCGATGCCAGTAGCTTGCACGGTTGATGCCTTGAGCTCTGACTCAGCGGAGGATTTCTTGCCTGCAGCTCCAAAGGAGCCTTCCAGAAAGCGCCGGCGGATGAAGACACTGGCTAACGCACAGCTTGCTCAGAAGGATCCATCATCCTCTCTTCGCTCCCTGATCGGTCGTGAATGCAGCTGCAAGCGAAAGATTTGCTTTCAGCAGTTCGTCGCAGATCAAGATTTTCAACCATTGTTGGAGTACCGAAAGCATTTCTTCGATTTGCACAAACTTGACCAAGACAGCTACGTTCTTTGGCCTTCCAGTGCTGTGTTTGTTAAGTTTCAACGTTTGTTGGTAAATTTCCGCACCTGGTTTGGGCCATGAAAATAGACCCCAGAAAGTCCCGCTGGGCCCACTCCAAACTATGGGTTTTTGGGGATTTCTGTGGGACTTCCTGGGGTCTGTCTTTTGTACTTTTTTGCCCTCGTAAGGCATTCGACAGGGTCCGCGACATCCTCAGAGATCATGAGACGCAACAGGGCAGATTGAGTTGGACGATTCTAGATAAGACTGTTTGCCGCAGAGCTTGGAAGTCTTTGCATGGGATGGGAGTCTTGTTTTTCTTTAAGAAGACGGTTTTCAGTTCATTGAATTGAAGACTAAAGTGCAACCTTTTCCCACTTGCGCGGGGGCTGTGAAGCCTGGCCTTGCATGCCTCAGGATCCAAGAGACTGACCAGGATGTACAACGCTGCTGAGAATGGCAAAGAGAGCGCCCCTGTTGACTTGCGCTTCATCAAGAAGCCTATGTCGCTGGTTGGTGTTTCTGCTGCATCAGTGCGGGCAGACGTAATATCATATCTCACAAACGTCTACGAATCGATCGCAGAAAGTTTACCGGACGTGCGTGACACTTTGTATGATGGGGTGGACCCTGAAGAGATTCCTGTGTTTGGGTCTTCACAGCCAGTGGACGTTTACAGCATTGAGTTGAAACGGCAAGCAGATGCCTCGGCTGGAAATATTTCCAAACCACGCAAAAAGAAGAAGTCTGTGGAGATGAACATGGAACGGACCCACGGTGAAGTGGCGAAGGAAGTCAAATGGCTTCCCAGTGGCTTTATGAAAGAGTACTACGTTCAATATTGCCGGGTGTCTGGACTGGCCCGGCCCGCTTCCTTTCCGACATTCTGGCGGGCGCCTGGTCCGAATTTGAGCGTAGGGTCCATTGTGCGGTTGATGCTTTTGCATTGTGTTGTGTGAGGTCTGGCTGAGTGAGTTTGCGCGTTTGCAATTTAGAGGGGAGAGCCAACACAGCCAGTGCACCACCTGCATCCGACATCGGACGATGATCCGGGGATTAGGAGCTCATTTAAAGGCACGGACAGCTCAGATTGATCACTTCCATGATCACTTAAAGGCACAGTACATGGATCGGGTCCTGTACTGGGAGAGGCGTGCAATGAGCCGCTTACGCGGCTCCGCCGTCTGCGTTATCGCAGACGGCATGGACCAAATGAAATTTGCAGTGCCACGGACACCCCTGACCAAAACAAAGGAGTTCTCAAACTTCCAAAAAGTCAAGTTACACGTTGCGTGTGCCATCTGTCATGGCAGGTTTGTGTTGTTTACTGTGGGGCTGCCAAATACCAAGAAGGACGGGAACTTTTCTTGCGAGATGTTATCTCACGTCCTCACCCTTTTGGAGCGCCAAGGCCAGTGTTTGGCAAACACCCAGCTTTACCTACAACATGATAATACCTGTCGTGAATTCAAAAATAACATTGGCCTTCGCTGGTGTTGCAGCCAAGTTTTCGGCCACAATTTGGATCGTGTGTGTTGTTCGTTCCTAAGGAGCGGACACACACACGAGGACGTGGACCAAGTATTCAGTCAACTCTCTAAAAGTTTGTTGAAGTGTCGGGACCTTCAAACGCCTGAGGACATCCAACAAGCAATCGCCAGTTTCCTGTCCCAAGCAAAGATGCCGTACGAGGGTGAGCGGCATTGCGTCTTCCTAAATGAACCACGGGATTGGACGCCTGGTTCTTTCTGATGTCAATGGTTTCCTTTCCTTTTCTTGTAGGGACTAAGTTACTTAACAAAGGACCTGGTAGAGGGACATTGCGAAGTCTTTGCGAGTGCTCAGGGCTGCTTCCACAGGGCTGCAATCCCTTTCCACTTGCAAGGGTTGACTGGGCCTGGTGGGCCGCACCATTTGGAGATTCTTCGACGCAGAGACACAGGACAAGGGCCTCCGCTTTCCATTTTTTGTTTCATGGTTTCGGGGTGGTAAGGCAAATCAACCCTTCAGAGAGTCCTTCTGTCCACGTTTGTTGCTGTACTGTTCCACTTTAAGGTGCCCCGCGTGAACTGGCAAACTCAACCTGAAAAGGGAACCAAATCTACAGGCTAGTCGCTGCTGGCAAACTTAGGTTCCCCCTCCATACACCAGGATCAGTCATTTCATATTGCTTCTAAATTTAGAAGTCCATGTTGCAACCTAGATATTATGCAAAATTGCCTTCTGCAGGATTGCCATTGGAATCGATTTCCAAGGGACCTTGGAGAACGGATCCCGACCCAGACGATGTTGTGCTGAGGCTGTTACTTTTGGGGCATCTTTGAGACTGTGAAGCTGTTTCCTTGCGCAGTAGAGGCAATGATTCCGAGCGACACAAACAATGTATTCCAGCAGGTGTCATTTGGTCATGGTGCTGCGACTGAACTAGGCATATATTTAGGGGTGAAACGTCGCTGTCTTTGTGCGCTGAAGGTGCAAGCAGTGGATGAATTCACCAAGCTACAACCTGACGGTCCTGCTCTACCCACGGCAAGTGGGGTTGGAGCTGATGCGTGTGGGTTTGCCGCAAGGCCAGTCTGTGAATGTGCTGTTGGGGGGTCCAAACAATCGTTCTGTGCAGTTAGAAGGTTTGTCAACCTCTAAACAACTTAGCCTCTTGAATTCAGTGAGGCCTGGCAGAGAAAAGAGAAATCGCGGAGGAGCAGCGCTCCCACCTCCAGAAGTATATCCCCACGTTGCGATTTCCTTTGTACAATCTTTCACGGTGTGCCGACTTCTTGGAAAGCTGGCTCAATGATGCCCTCCCAACCAAGCCGCTGTTGGATGTCACCGCGCAACTTGGCAGAGCTACTGTGATGTCTGTGTAGTATAGCAAGTGTTGAACAACAAGCCCTTTTGAAGCCGGGAATTTGCTACCACAGTTTTTGTTGCGCAGTCTTTTTAAAGCTTTGCTCAAGTCCCAACACCGCCGCACCGCCCAGTCTCTAATTAATTAAATTACTAAGGTGTATGATCAAGACTGGCCCAGTAGCGCTGCATTCGAACACAGTGTCCATGGAGCCAAATTCTTTTGACATCCCAGCGAACGTTTTGCAGTTCCTTGCCTGGGTTTGGGCTGATTAGTGGAAGGTCGTGGGATGAGCTTTTTTCAAGGATGCAAGTGCCTTCATTGGTTGGTTCTTGCTGTCTTGAGGCTGGTTCGGGCAACGAAGGACAAGGACCAAGTGAATATATATATTAGGAGTGCTCGGCGCCGGATTGCTCACGTGGCAGCAGCCCGTGCGTGGAGCATGGGTGTGCCGTGGGCTGAGGCTTTACGGGTATCTCTGGCAGCAGTTGCTGCTGGTGATGCCTCTGTTCCAAATCCATTTGGAAAAGGGTTGGGGCGGGCCGAAGGCAAGTCCAAGGCCAAAGGAAAACGAAAGGGGAAAGGCCGGCGCTGATGAGTTGGACCTTCTACTTCTACATTGAATGTACGTTCTTGATGAATTTTTCTGAGCATTGCTGCTACATGTTCAACACTAACTAGTTGCGCCCGTCCTATTCACATCGACCAACATTTAGCGTCGTCCTAAACCCTAAACGTTTCAGCCCCCCTCAAAATTTGGTTGCGGCATGGACATTTACACGGCTGCAGTCTGCAGTCGCAAAGTCTGATGGGCGGCGGTGCGGTGTTTTTGCGACCAAAGTCACCTCAGAATGGTCGCAAATGAGACGGTGAATCCACGGGAAGCTTAGTCTTCACCAACCTGCCATTGAGTCAGCAAGCATACCAACCAATGTTTGTGACCAAAGTGACCTCGTTTTGGTCGCAAATTTCTCGTTTGTGGACACCGCAGGTTTGAGTCCGTTCAGGGGTTTCGAGGCATTCTGTTTATGATTTCCTGGGACCTTGAAAAGGTTAAGCTGGCAATTTCAATCCAATGTCCGAAGTCTTTTGAAATTTGTCGCAAAGTGACTTCAAAATGGCTTTGGGCCAAGTTTTGCGTCCAAAGTGACCTGAGAATGGTCGCAAATGGCCGCCTGGTACAAGGTGGATTGTTTTGCGTCCAAAGCGATCTGAAACGGTCGCAAATCTGAAAACGGTCGCAAATTCGCAACATTCATCGGCTCTTTTCATGTTGGAATTTTGATGGATTGGGCGGTTCAGTCACTTGGACTTGGAAATGAAACCGGCCTGGCTCAATGGTACAAGAGCAATAACCAAGTTGCGCTGGGCAGGGCTTGTTGCTGAAATGAGCTCCAAGCGCAAGACCAGCGGGGGCGGGGACCGGGCTCCTAAGAGGCTTGCGTCCAAGGCTGGCTTGCCAGCTGCAGCTGAACACCCACGTATCGCGAAGATCGTGGAATTGTTTCACGGCGCAAGGGGTTCAAAACACAACTTGTTGGTGTCCTGCCAGCTGGTCGTTGTTGCATGGCCTTGCGACTTGTACTTAGGTTGGAGCAGTCAGTGGTGCCCGTTGGCCCAGACGTGTGGCTGTCCAATGAGTTCAAGACCGAGGAGTCTTGTTGGTGCGTAGCCTTGACTTTCGGTGCAGATTTTGTTTTTCCGAAGCCGGCGCTCCTAGTGAGGACGAGATGCTAGACTTTGCACGTTGGATCGATGACTTTTGCCCACCCAGCCCCGAGCTGCAAGCTCAGTCTTGAAGTGTTCCAAGAGAGGTCAAGGGGCCTCAAAGCTCAATTTCAACAAGTGTCCTGAGGAGTTGTTTGCGTCAAAAGACATCTCTTGGTTAAGTGTTAAGCGTTGCCTTTCCGCTCGTCGTGTTGGCCGCGCCAAGGCTGCGTTACGCAACGGACACCACTGGCCCACAGTATCTAAGACCATGGATGCTGGCCTGGCGCGCAGACAGTGGCTGCAGCGGATACATTGAGCCAGATCAATTGGTCAGCATATGTGAACTGATATGTTGTGAAGGGTTTCTTTGAAGCATTTTCTAGGAGCAGCTGTTGAAGTGACCGTGCTTCTATTTTTTGAAGTCTGTCATTGAGGTTTTTGAGTGACAGCAACGTAGTCGGTGGGGAGAAAATCTCTGCGACCAGCATTCCTGATGCTTTCCTGGAGGAGGAGATGGTCAAACTCCCTCCAATCTTTGGAGGACGCCTTGTAGGGACCAAATCAACAAAGAAATGCTGTTGCTGGTGTTTCCTTGTTTGACAATTATATGGACATGTAGTAAGCGATTGAAAGAGAAGTGTTTGCCAGACGGGTACCTCTTGGCGCCCTTCAGCTGCGGCTACGTGAAGGGCTGGAAGAGGAGTGTGTCTCTTCTTGTCGTGTTGGCGGCTGTGAAGAAGCTCGAACTTGCAGATTGCATCCCGCCAGTGGTCAAGGCCCCCTGCGCGGTTCATTCTCGTTCAATCTTCTGTGAATGTTTTTCTTGCGAAAGCTGTGCCTTTCCTTTTTTGTCCTTTCTTTTCAGTTCCTAGTGACGTGCATTTGGAAGATTCACCCGCCATTCATACATACATCTCCTCCGGTCAAAGAGTCTGCTGTTTGTCGCCTGCCAGAAGTCTTGGGGCACCATCCACGCCTCTTTCCAGCATTTCGCTGACGTCCAGCAGCAGGTGCACGCCAACAGAGGCTGGGCCAGCAACCTTTTTGGAAGGGCGACGAACCTTGTTTTTTCTCGTGGCGTTGCGTGATGTCTCTTTTTCGGAAAAGTTCAATTGATTTCAGGGGCCACGATGATCCATTCAACTACGCGGCGATCTCCCAACGCGTTTCATTTCCGGAGACAAATACAGATCCTCCAGAAGGCCGGAGGACCAGGATGTGAGCAGGAGTTCCAGGCGCCTGACAGTCAAACAGTCTCATTGAAAACATCATTTCACCAAGATTTCAGATTCACACAGGGTTTTCGGATTGTTAATCGTTTGTTGCCGGGAGGCCTGGGAGAAAGCCACATCTGTGGCAAGAGCATTTGGCATTGGCCGCTATGAGTCCGAGAGCGTGTCCAACTTGATGACCCGTATCGATGAGAGGGTCACGAGCGAGCTTTCAAGGGCTGTCAAGACGAGAGGCATGGCCAGATTTGTCACCCACGAATGCATAGCAAAAGGCGTGCTGAACACTGGATGGACTTCTGGAGTCGCTGCCTTCGAGCAATGGAAGGAAGAATTGAGAAACGGTGACGATTGCGAATTGGATTCACGGCAGTTCAATGTTTGCAGACTTTTATGCAATGCCTTGAGGGTGGTTTAGTAGATGATTTAATATGTGTATTGATGTTCGGATGGTTGAATTTTTGTACTCGGAGGACCTTTCTTCCAATCATTATCTTAGGCGCTCTTGTTCGTCGAGCGGATCATGATGGACTACGACTCCAGCCATCCAGCGCTCCGCAAGGCTGTCTCCTACCAAGTTGCTGTGTCGCGACACCAGGCTTGTGGTCTCTTTCTACATTTCCTGCGAGAGTTCCAGAAATCGTCGCCGGCCAGTGACTTTCAGAAAGCCAGTTCTGAACTTCGGCGTGGTTTTTTGCAGGGTTTGTTAGACCCCGACCTACAATACTGCCTGAGCACCACTGTGCCTCCTTCTGACCTGCACTCAATTTCTGCTTTCAGGCTTGGGGGGCACGTGCTGCGTTTGAGTGTCGCCATTGTGGTTTTGGCCCAATGCAAATTGGACTGACTAGCAAGTAAATTAATGCGTGAAAGCGCTTAAAGCCAACTGCCCTGCAGGCCATATGTGGCTCGAGTGGAACAGGTTGTCAAGGCGGCAAAGGAGGAGAAGACGGCCAAACTGGCAGAAGAAGCGAGGGCAGCAGATGCCAAACAGATCGTTGCGAAGATTCAAAGCGACTTTCAGGTGCTGAGGTCTTGCATTTCTGATGAACTCACCCGAGCTCAAAACACTGCAAAGGACCTCAAGTACATACGTGATCGCCAAGCGCACTTTGGTAGTCTGTAGAGGGAAGACTTTATTTTGCGGCGGTTGTTTGGTTAGTTTGATAACTTCACCAACTTTTTGTACCTTACCTTGACTCATTGCGCCAACGTGTGAGGAAGGGTGAAGAACATGTCAACAAGTTCACGCAGGAGCGCATTTGCTTGATGGAGCTGACCGACAGCCACAAGAGCTCTGCAGCAATGGGTGACTTCTTGAAGTTCAAAGAACAATTTCGTGGAATTTCAGGGACGCAGCCACTTGTCGGCTTCAGCATGCTTTCTGAATTAGGGAAACCTCTCGACCAGGCTTCCGACGCATGTCTTTACCTTGACACTCTTTCACTCAAGTTTAAGGTATCTGGTCGCCTCATTGGATTGCACAGTGTGGCCAGCAAACAGTGCCTACCTCAATGAGGCGGTTAACCACTTGTCCACGATCTTGGCTATGTCTCCAACCCATTGCGGTCTGGTGCAATATCCCGTTTACCAATCCCAAACGAACCAGGCCACCCTGGTCAAGCACCGGCATGCCTTGGACTTGCTGTTGCTGAACGCAGGCTTGACCGTCTACCACCGCATACAACTGTGCTACGAGAAACCAGACAGCTCTGCAAGGGACAACCGTTCTTTGTCGCAGTTGGCGGCGGCGGTCTTTCACGCGAACTTTGACAACTGCGCTTGGATGGATAGCAGTGCCGTGAAGGAGGGTCGCCTGGGACCGATCCCACTGATTCGAGTGGCAGACTTCATAGGCTACGACGACGTCAAGCGTCCCAGCGCAAGCGCCCGAGTAGAGCAGTTGCTCGGATATTATTCGCGCGTAAAGTTTTCTTTTTCTTTTTTAGCTGTTCAACAAACCAAAGATCCAACTACATGGGCTTGGCCACCCGTGCTGCAGGAAAGGGCTGACGTGCCACGACAAACTGATCGATGGCTTGTTGGACAACATGAACATTCAGCCAGCTGACCGCATGATCTTGGTGGATCTGCTGCCAAACAGGCTGCTAATCATTGAAAATTCTATTTTGGTAGCTGTTATGTTTTTTGGCGTTCAATAGTGTGTTTGTTGACTGTTGTTTGTTGGCTGTGTTGCTGTTTTCCCATTCAACAAATTGAATGCATGTAGGTTCGTGGAGTTTGCAAGAGCGATGACGGAGCGTTCTTTGGAGCGCCAGAAGACTGATGTGCGCTACTTTGGCTTCGTCCCGTCTGATTCTTTCAAGGATACATTGGCCGCTGTGAGAGACATGATCTACAAGTCTTGGGACGTGAGCAAAGAGAGCCCACCAAAGCAGCGTCCAGGTTCTGATGCTGCAGAGCAGGCGGCCCCAGATCTGCAGATTCTTGCTTGGAATGGACGCCCCGTATTTCCTGAGTGCGTCGCTTCAAGATTTGCGGAGGGCACCTTGGAGTTTGATGAGGTTGCAAAGCTGAAGAAAGAATTCCTGGAGATGTTTCCTCATGCAACTACCCAGCCAGCTGCGCCGAATCCCGTCCCAGCCAGGGTTGGAGGTGTGTGCGATTTCACTTTGGACAACGGTGCTGAGCCGCTGGATGTCAACCGCGAAATCGAGGTGGAAAGGATTGCAGATGACCAGTTCTCGGAACAGAGGCTGCTTGTAATGTTGATTCGGGTGAGCGTCCTTGTTTTGTGTTTTAAGAGCAGGGATGCGGGGTGGGCGTCCTTGTTTTGTTCTTTTAAGGAGCAGGGACGCGTGTGTCCAGTGTTTTGTTGGTGTGGAAGGCGGGCCTCTACGCAGATGACCAAGAAGAGGCCTGCGATTGTGATTGCCCAGGACTTCAGCATTTGGATCGGAAACACGTCCGAGCAATCTGTGACGTTTGAGCCGGGAGAGCTCCTGGGGTTTGGCACTGGGGCCTTTGAAGAGAAGGTCATCAGTGCCTTGGCTCCAATTGATCGAGCCGAATAACCTCTTATGTTTGTGTAGTGACGCATGTTTTTCTTGTTTTAGGTGAGGTGCACTTGTCTTTTGAGAGAGATCATCGTATATGCAATCACCCTTTCCTTCAACTGTCATTCCCTTTAACCTTTCATCTCTCTTATACTAACAAAAGGGAATACCAGTAAACGAATGAATATATTGGATAGGTTTGCCCACCTTCATTTATAGTAAGAAAGCCGCCCATTAGCTTTCAGGTGATCCTTCTTCTGAGAAGGAGACCATCCCATGGAGATTGACCTCCGACCTCAACTATGTGAGCAGCGACAGGACTTTGTACCCGATGTGCCAGTTCATGCGGAAGCTTGCGACTGAGCAGGGCATTGGTCAGCTGGCGATCGAGGATCACTCTTTGAGCCAGCGATTTCACGCTGTCACCAAGCGAGATTGGCGTCCTTTTTCTGTATTGCGTCGATGCTGTTCCCTTGTTCTGGCGCTTGTTGAAGGAGAAACAATTAGGAAGGAAGGCAGGAGGCAGGAAGGAAGGAAGGACGGGCTGTGATTGATGGCCGACGATGTGAGGTCGCAGATGGAGCAGCAGACCCTGTCCCGGTTAGCTTTCGCTACCAGATTGCGCCGTTGCCATCCAAGTCAACTCATGTGTACAAGCCAAATGGGATGGGCGAGCGGGCTGAGAACGTTGCTGCAAACATGGTTGGCGCGGCTTTCGGTGGCAACTACAACAAGGTTGTGAACAACAAAAGAGCCAGTGTGGTTTGGGAAGCGACTCGGTGGTCATTGATTTGGCAGTTCACATTTCACGAATACAGAAAACAATAGTTGAAGTTGGCAATTGGGCACTGGCGTTGAGCTAGCGGTTGCTAGGCGTGATATGTATGTACTGTTGAACCAAAATGTTCAAATTGAGCTAGCGATTAAAGCATAATGTATGGAATGTTGAATCAACATGTCCACTGGACACTTTGGCTCCAGAGTGAGGGCTGCGCCACAGACTGAAGATTTGTGAAGAGTGGAGCTAGGGGTTGCTAGGCATATTATGGAATGTTAAACAAAAATTGTCCACTAGACAGTTTGGCCCAAGCCTGAAGATTTGTGAAAAGAGTGGAGCTAGCGTTGAGTATGGGATGTTAAACCAAAATCGCCCACTTGACAGTTTGGCCCAAGAGTGAGGGCTGTGTCACAGCTGAAGATTTGTGAAAAGAGTGGTGTAAAGATGGACCTGCGCCAACACAAAAGGAGTAGCAGTGTGTGGGAGTACTCGGTGTCGGTTGGAAACCGGAACAAACACAGTTTGATACATGTGACGTTTTCTTCATACTAAATAGAAAAGTATCAACATGTTTGTATTTGTCAATATTTAGATTTTCAGATATAAATAATTAATGTTTACGCGCCGAAATTACAGATCAAGGCATGATGTTTCTACTCAGATTCAGCATTTTGTTGCGCCCAAGTGTAGTTTACATCGTTATATTTCCCAAAACAAGAAGATAAAGAAATGTTTTTGTTCAGATTCAGATGCCTTTGTTGCGCCGAGGTGCAATTTACATCATCGCCACCGAAGATCCAGATTGTGAAGCCGAAGCTCTACTTGACCTGCCGTGTTCACATGCCTGCTAAGCACTGGTGCAAACTAAACACCTGAGCTGACCGGGCGCAACTGACTTTTCTCCGCCCTGCGGCTCCTGCTTCCGTGGTTGGTGAGGCTCAGATCGCAAAGCGCCTGGAACTTCAAAGGCAACTTCCCATTCGATCTGCTGCGGATTTGGGAGCTGTAGCGTGCCTGACCCAAGTGTGGTCGCCAAACTTTCAAGTTCAATTTTTCGGTCCATGGGCGACGTTCTAAGCACGAGTGTTCTTCAGCCACGGTGTGCGGCCAAATTTGTCTCCAGATTGTTGGTCCAACGCACTTCTCAATTCAACAATCAGTTTTAAATTCACTGTTACTGTTGCGCTGGTCCAGCATCGAATATTCAAGTCTGGATTTTAAATTTGTTACTGTTGTTGGCTGACGCTCGTGTGGCTGATCAACGGCTGATCGTCGCAAGTGGCTGGCAGTTCGATCCTATGTACCGCACACAGGAAAGCAAAGAGTTTTGAACCGTTGGGCAGCTTAAAGGTAAAGGGCCCACTACAGCCATGCTTTCAATTTCCCCCCGACAGTATCCCACGAGAATAATGAATGCGCCGGCAGATTTTTTTCACAGAAACTCGAGCTGTAACGGCATTCAAACGACTTGCCCTTGACCCGCCTTCATGCCCGTGTGCAACGTGGTGGATGAGTTGTCCGGTTCAGACGCTGAGTCTTGGCGACATTGAACCATGTGGTGAAGTGAGGGTGGAACTTGACACCTTCTTCTTTGAGTGCTACATCTTAATTTGTGTGAATCAGGACGCTCCCACCGTGAGACTAAGCCCTAGCGCTGGCGAGAAGGAACTTGAGAAGAAGAAGGAGAAAGCCAAGGGGAAGGGCAAGAACAAAGCCAGTGCCAAGCCGTCAGGCGCAAAACCTCTAACCTTGCCAAAGAAGAAAGATGAAGGGAAGCAAGAGGGGACTGGGAAGAGAAAGGCGGATGTAGGTGCTGAGGATCAGGACCCACCTATTATGAAGCGTCCCTCAGCATTGCGTCGGCCTGCTGCTACCGTTACCCCTGAGGCTTTTGACGCTAGTTTCTTGGCCAGTGAGCTGAAAGTCCTTTGGGCCCCTCCCCCATGATGTACGAAGATTCGCGTACCATGTCGTGTGTTTTCGCAATGCAAGGCTTCATATGCAATCCATGCTGGCATAAGGGGAGCTCCACATACACTGTGAAGAACAAGGATGGGAAGCAAATTTTGACTGTGGCTTGTTGGAATCTGGTATTTGCAGCTTTCACCTTTCATGCGATAAACGGTTACACTGTCATGGGCCAACGGAATTGAAGGATGTAGACCTAAACGGGGCCAGGTGTTAAGAAGTATTGCTTGTAGAGGGGAAGAAGGTCTTTGATTTCGTTTGTTTGTTGTCTGATGAATTGGACGTGGTTGCTAGTTGCGTTGCGTCACTGAACATTTAATTAAGGCAGGTGGCAAGTATGTCGACAAAGAGAAGGCGCTGGAAATCATCAACGTTGGCATCGAGCAGTTGAAAGGTGGGTCCTCGCTGGCTGACGTGAAGAGCATGTGTGTTTTTTGGAACGCGTTATGAAGTTAGCGCATTTCGCATTTGTCCTGAAATCAACAAACAAGGTTTTTCTAACTTTCTTTTTGTGGTCAGCTTCGAGGTTGAGATGACCCAGGCGGCCACTCAAGTTACTTTGGCGAAGCGTTTAGAGGCTCGACCTCCGGGAAATAGGTTCCATCAAATACTTGGCCTTTTTGGTGCAATCAATCAATCCCTGATGTTGGTCAGGGCGCGGAGCGTCCTGATGATACGCGTTCTTCTGCTGCGCCTGGCGTTGGTGGTGGCGGCGACGATGGTGTCGCTGCTCAGGAAGACGGTGTCGCTGCTCAGGACGGTGTCGCCGCTGCTCAGGATGGTGTCGCTGTTCAGGACGGTGTCGCTGCAGATGAACAAGGCGGAGAAGGTGGTGAGTCAGAAGCAGATGGTCTCGAGCATGACGGTGACGTTGAATGTGAAGCGGCGCCGGCGGAAGAGGTGGACTAGTAGACTGGCTGGCTAATCAGCTTGCCAAGTTTGAATCTTCTAGACGCAGTGTGAGTGCAAAAAACGATTCAAATCCAGCGACTGCGAGATTTCTACATATCAACCCAGCCTCCAACACAGTCGGTGAAGTCTAAATTTGAACATGTCAGCTCCACCTGTCTTTTTAAAGCCTGCCTGGTTTTCGCAGCAGGGCCGAGTTCAAAGTTTACATATGGGCCAGGTCCGGCTATAAACAGAACTCCACTTCATATTTTTTCAATACGGTATTCTTCCTGCATACTGTAGACTCTGTAAGACCTTATATGCCGCATGTTGAACAAGTGTGTTTTTGTTCTTGAACTCAATTTGTTGTCGCAGCTCACCATGGCCTGCGCCTCAGTATCCTCTTGCCGCGACAGAAGTCGCAGCCGCGGCAAAGACCTTTCCGACGATTGCTGCATCATTATGGAGGCAGAGGCCGACGAGTCTCAGTGTCGGCCTGAAGATCTACCTGGCTATGACCCTTTGGTGGAAAGGATCATTGAGCATCACGTTATGAATATGGTGACCAGAAGTGTCGGGTTGGGAAACGCAAGAGAAATTGCAGACAAAGCCTGTGAGCTGCGTCAAAGGCTTTGCGCAGGTCTCAGTGAGCAGCAAAGGAACGATACGCGTCAGTAGTTTGTGATCTTGCAAGTTTTCAATTAGACTTGGCTGATAATGGCCTGAGCCTGTCTGTCACTGTGCGCAATACGCATTGTACAGCGATGAATCTTTGCTCGCTTCAGATTTGCTTAAAGATGACCGTGTTCCCTGATAAAACGCATGCAATCGCAAGCTTTCGATGGACTGACTTAGTGAAAAGCTTGCCCG